GAAACAGCTCTTATGCCACTGCTCTCCCAGAGATAACTGAGAAATTGTTATATTTCGATGTACCAGGAAAGAGGAAATACAGTTTTTTTGCAGAACATGTCACTATTGTGTACAGAAAAGTACTCATGAAGAGGGTGAAAGTTGTCAGCATGAGTTTTGTTTTGCTTTTTTCTTTTTGTAGCTTTCATTGCTGAGAGAGAAAAGCGGCAGACATGGGCAATAGTCACTACCATGCTTGGAGTAGTGCTTTTTGATTTTGCAGCTGACTTCATTGATGTCCCCATCAAAGTGTATTTATTTGATGTCTGCTCTCATCAGGAAAAAGAGAAGGGTCTGCATTACCATGCCCTCCTTACAGGTACTCAGATCCCTTCTTTGCCTTCCTACCTCCAGAGGGAAGGGAGGGCAGTTGCATGGATTTTATTCTGACTGTGTTTCTAATCTTGAATGAACGGATCATCTGATCTTGAGCCACAGTCACGAGTCTTTTGTTGCTGGATTTTCACTACTCCAAAGAACAGCAACTTGTGATTGCTACAGGGCTTCTCCAGCAGAAGGCTAAATATTTACAGCAGCAGACCCAAGGTTAAATTATGAGCAATTAATTGATTTGGAAAGCAAAGCAGTGCTTATTCAGCTTGTACTGATTTTTCTTTAAGCTTTTAGTGAAGCAAAAATTAAGGAATGCAGCTTGCTTCCTTGCCGTAGAGGTGAAAAATAAACATTTTGGCTCAGTATGCAACACAAGCAAGCCGTATGCAAAGCTATGTAGCTAGTTTTCCATTTGTCAGCAGTGTTTCAATACATGCTAACCTCTTCTATAGAGATAGAAGCCCGGTGTGAAATTCAGAGTTTCCTAACTTTCACAAAACAACATTGAGAAGCTCAGTCCAGGCTCTTGCTTCATTTGATTGCACTTGCCCATGTTTAAAAACGTTGCAGTTAACTTGGTCCAGCACCTTGGGTTCTCTATAGCAAGACCATCTGCACCAAAATCCTTCCTGATGGTTAATTGCTCTACTTTTAAAATCCTCCAGGGATAGAGATTCTCTCATCTGCCTAAGGCAATCTATACCAGCGTTTCACTGGCTTTGTTAATAAGACTTTATTTTCAGAAAGACGTATTGTAGGAACTGAGTTATTTTACCTCCCAGCTTAGTTCCTTCTTTTTACACTAAATATCTCCAAGATTTTGTTCTTAAGATTGTCCTCATCATTTTTAAGGTCCAAATGGTAAAACAGATATTTTGCGATTAAGGATTTATGATCACTGAGAAAAGCGGAAGAGATACTGCACATATCCAGTGTTCAACACTCAGATTATGCATTCTAGCATCATGATTACTTTTTGTCAAAACAGTATATAAAGATGATCTGAAATATAAAACATTCACCACTGTGCAAAACGTTAGTGTTGTTTTAGTTCAAGAAACTGTTACCAGCTTTATTGCTTTTCATTAAAGCAAGTTAGGATCCAGTCTCTCCAAAACTTGGTGGAACAAGAAAGGATACAGTCCCTCTAAAATTCAGTGGGACACAGTGAAGAAAGGCCATAGTCAGACCTAAAAGGGAAAGAAATACAGAAATTCCAGAATTAAAGTACAATCACATGGTTATTAGGTCAAGCAATATAGGAGAATAATATTCTCATAGTAATATTCTCTCTTTACCTTTACTCTGACCTTTTTTTTTCATTTCCTGAGATGATGAAAGCCAGTGAAAACAAACTCACATTTGTACGTGTTCTTTTTTTTTTTTTTTTCCTTTTTATAGAGGTGAAGTACTTGGTTTGTGATAATTACCAAAATATGTTATTTATTTTACTTCCCTTTTGAAGATTTCACATGGAGGCTGTGTTTCTGTTTGTATTCAGCTATTCAGTATAAAATATTTTTTACAAGGTTTAAGATACTGATAGTCCTGATATAACAAAAAAATTATATTCGGTCTGTTTTGTAGTCTTTTATTTTCATGGTACACTAAAAACAAATTGCTGTAGAATTTTATTTTGTATTGGGCATTGTTTCAGAGAGAAGAAAGCCTCAGAGAAATGTTTCTGAATCATGCTTAGAGAATATTTGCTAGAAAGGGATGGAGAACTGTGCTGCTATATGTTCAGCCATTTCATGGAGAGCTTTGTCCACCAAAGCTGGGGAGATTTTTCAGGATATGTTTGGCAACTGTTCACACATGTGATTAGCTCAGTGTTGTAATTTCTTGTGATTCTTCCCACATACACTGATACCTGAAGGGCATTATATAGTGATGTCTAGAGAAGATTACATGTAGAACATATTCTATATTATTATTTATTTTATAAATATTTTCTCTTTCCTGCTTTCCCCCTGCTGTAGGCTTGGGAGGAGCCCTAGGTTACTTGACAGGGGCTGTGGACTGGAGTAATACCATACTGGGACATCATTTGGTATCCGAGTTCCAGGTGATGTTCTTCTTTGCAGCCTTAGTTTTCCTGGTCTGCCTCGTTGTGCACTTGTGCAGTATCCCTGAAGTCCCCCTCAGATATGAAAGCGAAGAGACCAAGTTCTTGTTGGAAGTGGATGAACTCCGTCAGTATAAATCCATAGAGGAAATCAAGAATGGTTACTTAAAATCAGCATGTTCTGAAATAAAGGCCACACCTAAACCAACGAAGTCCTCTGGTCCATCACATACAGATGTAAGTGCGGATTGATTTTGTGACCTTTATCCTTTCAGTCTTGGAGACCACCAGTTACCCTTTTTTAATTACCTATTACCCTTTTTAAAATACCTCTTGATGACTGTTTGAAATGCAGCCCTCAGAAAATCCTCTACCAGGATATAGAGCGAGCCTCTCTGGCCTGGTTTCTATTTCATTGTTTATACAGTAGTTTTAACAGAAGGGACAGAGATGGGCTGGTCTTGCCGGCTTTGGACATTTTGTGGGGATGAGGGAGAACCAGGCTGGAGTTTGTGCTCTGTACTGCCACAGAGCAGAAGCTCCTCATATCCTCCTCATCTGTTTTTCCTCCATAGAATATAGTTTGTCCTTTAATTTCTATAGAATTTGCAACATATTGAGGACAAGAACTAGATACCATTAATCTTTGATATAAATCCATAGCTTCCACTGAAGTCAACAACACCTACATACGTAGTATATATGAAGTGTACCCTGCCCTGATAAATGCTCCAGTTACACTGCTGCTCTGCATTCCAGCAAGTATCTGTTGGCAATACCAAAACAGTTAAACTCTTATTCAGTTTTACAACAACACTGCCTCCCTTCCGAGGTTTTTTTTTTTTTTTTTTTTTAAAGCAGCTATTGTAGCTGCATCTTTGGGAGAACTTCCAGGTGAGAGGGAGAAGTGAGCACTTGCACTGGCATTTTATTCATGCTGATTTACTAATGCATCTCGTTTTCAAGAGATGATGCGTCGCCCTAAGGCAGTTAGGAAGAAGTGAATCGGCATGGAAAATATGTGGAGATCACACTTGTAGAATAGTGTTAGGAACAAACAATAGTTCTTACTGTTTTGTTGATGATTTGCAGTGCTAAGAATCCTGACAGCACTTTCATGGCATCCTAGGTAAGCAAAGGCTAATAATATACTTGCTGGTTCCCATTATAACAATAAATAGCAAAAGAGCTTCCTCTTGTTCTAAATTCACTTTTGATTTCTTAGCATTATGTATAGCTATCCCTGAAATAAGCCTTGGGAAAACAATTTAAAAAACCCTGGGAATGTGCAGCGCTTGTCCCCTTTCCCCTCTTGGGCCAGGCCTTGCCAGCCCTCTTCACACTGAGCATCCTCATGGTTACCAAAGGTGGTGAACGTCATAGCATGTCTGCCAGCATAGGCTCCAAGAGAAAGGAGGAGAGAACAAATGCAGGGAGAACAAGGGAAGCAAACTATGGAATGGGATAATCTGTTGCTTTGCAAAAGCTAATCCCACTGAATCGATGACACCTGACCCCCCATGTGGAGCTCTGCTGTCCGCTCTGTTCCCGCTTGTCCCGTTGCCCTCCTTTCCCAGGGGCTCACTGGACAGCCTGTCAGAGGCTCCGTGCTTTGATCCATCTAAGGTTTCTTTGATGTGGTTGGGCTTGTGTAAATTTTAGACACTCTGTCACTGCAGAAATGGTCTGTCTCATATAGCACATGTTTTCTGAGTTTATTCATTACTGTAATTGCTTCCTTGAAAAAATGGCTTGGTTTCCTGCTTTTCTGTGTCTCTTTTGCTGCAGGCATTAGGGTCCTATTTCTTTTGAATTAGGGCCTGTGCTCTTGCATGCTAATAGTCCCCATAGATATTTAATGACATTTGACTTGCTACACTAGGAATAAACATCCAAAATGATTCTACTTGTGTTCTTTAATTTAGTGCCAAGTTACTCAGGACCCACTGCAATAATAATAATAATAATAATAATAATAGTAAAGTCATATTGATTCCCATGTGTCCCTTTGAAGTATCCTTAGGCCTTGAGTTACAGTAATGTTATAGAGAAAATGATTGGGTACTTTGGGCTATAGAAGGGAAAGTCACTTAAAAAGAAGCTTGAGTCAAACTTCAGCTCTTCATTTAAAAATACCAGTGTGAGGTCTATATGCATTAAACAGATGTAGTTTTTCACTTTTGAAAACACCTGAATAGGCAATAACAATTTCTGGCTAGTTCTCAATTGGTCATTTGTAATTACAGTAGTGTCCTCTGTAGTTCCCTGACCCTTTGCTAATACTTTGATGGGAAAGGCTATTTGAAAGAATTATGAGGAAGAGATGAACAAATTATATATGTGGGATCATGCAATAGTAATTATCCTTGAAATAAGGAGTTAGTTAGGTTTGGCTAATGAATTGATCTTTTTTTTTGGTTGGTTGGATTTTATTTGTATTACTATAGTCTAATAGAAAGCTTACTTTATTTAAAATGAAGTTAAAAGTGACAGTGATGCCAAGACAAATTCTGAGGGATTTGGACAATATGCAGGTCAAGGTAAAAGTCAGCATCTTGAAATTTGACATTCCTATGAGGATTAGAAACCTCTCACTGCAGCAAAGTATTTCCCAACCTTTTCCATGGTGATTACTTGTATTGCAGCTAGCAGCATAACCTAGTTTAAAGGACAGCAGAACTGTGAAAAGTAGCTAAAACATCAAAGATAGGAAAAAAATCCTCAGCTTACACAAAATTTAAGATAAAATTCTGCTTTTCATAACTTTTATGGTTCTGCCACATCTAATGACCATACAACTCCCCTTACCATCTCTCCCAACATTGTTGCCTCTGACTAGAAAAAAATGGGAATGTTCCATCACTCACAGTAAAAACAGCATTTCTTTTCTTTTTTTTTGTTTTCTTAAAAAGCAAAGAATCATGCAGGATCTTTAAAGTAGCCAGAGCTGTGTGCTATAAATGTGTGACAGCTAACCTACTGCTCATCATGCTCGACATACAAGTGATATGATGAATGTAACCAGAAAAGAAATAG